CATGGTTTCACTAAGGGAAAATATTGCCTTACAAATCTTTTAGCATTCTTTGAAAAGGTTACTGCCCATGTAGATGACGGTAAGGGTGTAGATTTGGTGTATTTTGATTTTCAAAAAGCATTTGACAAGGTGTCACATAAAATGCTTGTAAAAAATTAGCTCTATAGGTATGGAGGATAAGTTAGCAAATTAGATAGAAGAGTGGCTGGATGTAAGAAAGCAAAGGGTTGTTACAAATGGAGTTCAGTCAAACTGGATTAATGTCACAAGTAGGATACCTCAGGACTCAGTCTTAGGACTTTCCTCTTTTTGATTTACATCAATGACATAGATGAAGGGATAGTCAAAAAATTACTTAAATTTGCAGATGATATTAAGGTTTTAGGTGTTGCTAGCTATGAAGAGGATGCTGCTGATTTACAAAAGGATTTAGATCATTTAGTGAGTTGAGCAAATAAATAGCAGGTAGGTTTTAATTATAATAAATGCTAGATAATGCATGTGGGTTATCATAATTTGAATTATGAGTATAATTTGGAATGGGAATAACTTTAATAGTGTTATGAAGGAAATGGATCTTGTTGTAATAGTCGATCAGTCTCTAATGTCATCTAAGAAGTGTGCTGTTGCTAGTGGTAGGGCAAATAGGATTTTAGGTTGTATCTATAGAAATATTGAATACGAGTCTAAAGAGGTAATACTTTCATTGTACAGGTCACTGGTTAGACCACATTTGGAATATTGTGTTCATTCTTGGGCTCCTTACCTTAGGAAGGGCATTGAATTGTTGGAAAGAGTTCATAGAAGGGTTACTATAATGCGCCTGGGATGGGGGGGGAGGGTTGTTATACGACGAGAAGCTGAAATCTGTCAAATTGTTTTCTCTTGAAAAAAAAGAAGAGTTAGGGAGATCTAATTGAGGTGTTTAGGAGTATAAAGGGAATTGATAGTGTTGATGTATCATCCTTTTTATATTTAACAATGAGAATAGTAGGATTAGGGTACACATATATAAATTTTGGTAAGATAAGAGTCATCTTCAGCTGAGACAGTTTTATTTTTCTAAGACGGTGGTTGACCTTTGGAATGGGTTGCCTTCAGATGTTGTAGAGGCAGTAAATTTAAGTGAGTTTAAGAAAAAGCTTGATAAGTATATTAATGAAAAGGGCTGGGTTTAGAATGTTTTTATTTAATTTTATTGTTGTTTTTAAATCATTTTAATTTAGTTTTGAGAATGGAATAGCCGAGATCGACTAATAGGTTCCAACATTTTGTCCCAAAATATTATGTTATGTTATGTGAAAGAAACTAAAGCAAAAGCTATCGTTTTGAAATCCATTTGGTCTGTTGAAAAATGGTGTTGGAAGAGGACACCCATGTACATTGAAGTTTCTGCGGAAATATCGAGACTTGTGGTCCAAGACTGACCATACTGTCCTTTTTTAGAATGCTAGACAAACTAATGCTGGACAACGACGATGAAAGAAGCTATGCCAAGATGAATATAGGACCTGGAACATCATTCTTATAAAATAAAGTTTTCCCAAAGTTTACATAATGGTAACTATCAATTTCATGGTGGGTCAGCGGTAAGTTTACGGAAGTACAACGCAAAAATTCGTTGTTAATTCTCCGCGGTAGACAGAGCACATATAACCCATTGTGTAGCTTTGAGCTAAAACAAACAAAGCAATTGTCTTTCTGTGATCATATTTAAAGCTTCAATATATTTGCTGGCAACTGTTTTTCTATGCTCATATCATGAAAATATATAAACTTTCTAACTAAATGAAAACCTGCAATAAGAAGAACGAAAAGTGGAGTTTGCCTTTCGTCCTAAGCAAAATACTGCTAAAGTACATATCGAACACACACATATGGTCATTACCAAATATAATGTTGGCGCGTGTCGATCCTAACTAGTTATGTTTAAGTTTAGTTTAAGTAACGTACCAATAATATAATATATATATATATATATAGAGAGAGAGAGAGAGAAATTATATTACTGTAATATATTTTTTTTATTTTCATATACAGTTTCTCTGAAAGTATGTTTTTTATTAATTACTATTTACAATACTGCTAAAAACTACACTGCTTAAATCTTATAACCAAATGGTATATAATGAAAAAGAA